ACAAAGATTTTTAAGAAGGAAATGAATGCATCAAAAGACCACCAAAAGAGTAAAAAGGGAGCCCACAGAATGGGAAAAAATCTTTTGCAGTGACACATCAGACAGGGGACAAATTTCTAAAATATATAAGAACCTACAACACCTCTACAAGAAAAGGACAAATAACCCAACTGAGCACAGGACATGAACAGACACTTCACCAAGGAGGAGATCCAGGCAGCCAGCAAACATATGAAGAAATGTTTATGATCACTAGCCATCGTTGTTGTTGTTAAGTGCCGTCGAGTCGGTTCCGACCCATAGCGACCCTGAACAGGGTTTCCGAGGCTGTAAATCTTTACGGGAGGAGAAAGCCTCCTCTTTCTCCCGCGGAGCAACTAGTAGTTTTGAACTGCTGACCTTGCGATTCGCAGCCCAATTCGTAACCACTACGCTACCAGAGCTCCTTAGATGCAAATCAAAACAACAATGAGATACCATCTCACACCAGCAGTAACAGCAAAGATCAAAAAAGTAGAGGAGCATTTATTAATGCTGATGAGGATGAGGAGAGACTGGGACCCTTCTACAAAACAATATAGTGCTTCCTCAGAAGGTTGGAAATAGAGGTACCTTATGATCCAGGAATTCCTCTACTTGGTATTTATCCACAAGAAATATGAGCCAGGAAACAAATAGATATATGCACACCAATGTTCATAGCAGCACTATTTACAATAGCAAAAAGATGGTGCTCATCAATTGAAGAATGAATAAACAAACTTTGGTACATACACACAATGGAGTATTATGCCTCCTTGAAGAATAACAAGGAAGCTGCAAGTCACCTCATAACATGGATGAACCTTGACATTATGCTGAGTGAAATCAGTCAATCACAAAGGGAGAAATTCTGCATAGGACCATTATTTTAAAAGATTAAGAAAAAGTACCCACACTAAAATGTGTAAAAAAAAAAAGAAAGAAAAAAAATCTTAGTTGGTTACAAGGGTTTATGTGGTGTGGTGAGGGGAGGGTGGTGGGGAATGTGGAGCACAGGGTAGGTAATAGACACAAGATAGTTTGGGTGCTTGGAGGGTGGTAATATTCTAGAAGGGGGAGGGGAAAGGAAGAAGAACAAGGTGGATGGGAGACCAGTTAGGCTAAATAGGACAGAGGTAAATAACGATGTAAGCACAACCTTGGAACAACAGGGTTCTGGGATACAAGGATTGAGGCATGGTTTGAAAGGGTAAAAGTGAGGAAATAATGTTAAAATGCTTGACTGTGTTTTGAATCTTAGTTTCCCTTATTTACTATTATAAAATAGACACTTGAGGGGGAGAGAAAGGAATATCCAGAAACATCACCATAGAAAGCTTGTAAGTCTGTCTTCAGCCTATAACTGATTAGAATACCTAAAATGGGGCTAGAAATTGCCCAATGAAGGAGGTTTCCTGCGGAGCCTTTGCATTGCATAAGGTGGCATCCGGATCCCCATTCAGAATTTATTCTGAGGTGGGAATTTTCTACTTGAAAGGACAATCAGACCAGCCTGGAGCAGCTAGAAGAACAGAAGATGCTTTTTGAAAGAAAGATCAGCTGAAAAAATAAAAAACAATAATGGCAGTCTGATTGACTACTACAAGAACAAGCAAGTCATTTCCCCAGGAGTTATCAAGGCAAGGGATCAGGTTCCCTCAGGGCAATGAGGTCAGCTTGCTGCTGACCTCGTTGGTCACCGATATGGGGAAGTGGGGGGAAAACAGAAATGAAGTTGTGAGCTAAGTCCATCCACACTCAATAGACTCCTGTTAACCTGGTTGCCAGCAGTATGATGAGTCCTGGGGACTCCTGGGCCCAGGGACATGGCCACAGAGGACCAGAGTGGAGTGCGAAGCGTACAGCTGATATGAAGTGAGGGGATATGCACAAGAACACCCATACTT